CACTGATTGTCCAGGCACGTTCTAGGCAACGTAACCAACCAACGCTGTCAGCCAGGGTTGCTTCCGACACGAGAATACCCGTGTAACCCCCATGGAACGACGATGAGGGTGAATTTTCGGATAATAGGGACGTCTCGAGTGGTCGGCGTTAATTAAACGTATCAACGTTTTGATGTTCTTCGTATCTGCACTTGATCGAACTTCTAATAAGGGGAGTGTTAACAAATTTGACGGAACTTTGTCGTAGATAAGTGAACAGGTGAAAAATGTTTTTCCCTTACTCTGCTTCTTTTTCGATATGTTTTAACCAGATCGCGCACGTTTGTGCAAATTTATATTTTTTATCAAGTGTACTGAAAAACAATGATACTTTAACTAAAAGTTGTCTCACCTACTAAACATTGAAAATAGTCTGCTGTAACTTTTATATCCGATACGTTTTTTCATATTACACGCGTTCTGTAAATTTTCGCAGTTGCAAATTTCTCGTACACGCATAAACATCCGCAGCCTGGTTATTAGTTGGATTTGTCAACGACTAAGTTTTTATCAACTTTACGTGTTACTAATATTCGTGTATCGTAATAAATCGGTTTGAGGTATTTGTTCCGTGTTAAGTGTCTTCTCTTTAATTACGTACGATTTTAGTTTATTGTTACTATTCGCTCTTTCTGTTATTATCATTGTATTAGCACAATATATATTGTGCCATGTACCATCACACACTTTCGCTTTCTTCTCTCTGTTTCAATAGAACAACTTCATACACCGTTACAGACAAATTAATCATACGTCTAAAAGTTAAACTACGTACCAAATGTGTTCATAGCGAATGATACACGTTCTTCTCTACAGTGATAGAAGTAAAGAGAAAATATTCGATGTAATCGTGACGAGAATAAAAATAAAGAAACATGCTGAAAATCGGATTCGACTGTTCCTGAAGCAATTTGCGTATCGACTAACTTCTAATCAGATGGAGGCTGAAGAACGCGAAAGGGTCGAGAGTTCGATACCTAGAAGGGTGTCTTTTAACGAAAAGAAGCGTTAATCCACTTCTCCTCGATCTATTTAACTGCCTTTGTTCTTCGCCACGTAGCAACACTTTTACCCTTGGTTGGACGCGTTTAATGTTCTCCCCTCTGTCGTACGCCTCTTCTTCCCGACACTTTCGATAGAGGAAATGCAATAAACAATCGCCACCCCTGCCACCTCTATTAAACCAGCAATTTCAACGTTAAAGAGAATATACGATTTACTTGGAAATCGGAGGGAATTTTATTGGCAAACGAGCGATGGGCCCTTTGTTTCTAACGTAGCGTGAAAACCTCGATCCGGATTCTATATCATTCGGACTGATTTATCGCGGAGATTTCGATCGCGATTGAAGGCTGCGAATGATACGGGTACGCGTCCCGCTGCATGATACATAGCTTCATCCAGTAGGCGATTTATAGCAATTCAAGGCAGTCATTTAACACGTTCGTTATAACGAGCGATCGAGTGCTTAATCCTGCAGCTTCATTACTGGCCGTGTTTACCAACGTTAACGAACAGATTTACTTTAACGCGTAAGGATAACCTGCGCGTGCGGTTCTTGATTATCTCGAAAATAAAGGTCTAATTGAGGAACTGCTCGTTCTCCGAGGCATAACAATCCATTATAATTAAAGCCCTTTTTCTTATTAGACGTAACGCGAGACTGGGACGTAGAGACAATGCGTAGAAAATTGTATAGTAGGATAACGCCGTACGATCTTTTCGACGTACAAAGTGATCAACGTGTCTTGTTGCAAATTTCTCGATTTCACGATATACGTAACATGATTAACGTTATTTATTATAGTCTTTGGGAAACTTAACCGAATAGAAATGTGTGAAAGCTATTGGAAAAAGAAATAGCTTGAAAGAAAGACGTTATAGATGAGAAGTTATAGATGAGAAGTAAGAATTGAAGTTATAGATGAGAAATAGTCCAATTTTATCTGAATCTTTCTTAACTTTCGCTACGACTTTTCTCAACAACCTAATGTAATTTTGATTACATAATTTGTTCGATGGATTAGAAAGTTAGGGACCTAGAGGTATTCGGTATACGATTTTACACCGATAATTGCGTACCTTTCATCGATGTTCCTCTCTCAATTAAAGGTTTTAGAATAAACAATAAATCGCAGTTACCCATCGCAACCGTGCCGCGTGTGTTTCAAAGCACATCCTTTGGAATGCAAAGCCGCGTGGCGACAAGACACGGAGACTTCGGCGATGGACAGTTTAATCTAGTTGTTAATTTATAGCGTTTCGGGCGAGTCCTTTAACACGTTCGTTATCAGAGCCGAATAACACAAAGGACTTAATCTCGCCGGTTCATTTGCATGCAAACCTCTTGAAGCGGCGACCGGAACCGAGACGGAGCCCCGATAGATGCAATTAAGTTATTCGTAGTCCTCCACCCTTTCGTCGTCGAAAAATAAACCGACCGCCTGCCAGCAAACAGGATGCAAATCGTGCCACAGGGAAATTACTTGGTAGGGATGACAGAAGGACAGGGGAAAAAAAAGAAAGAGAGGGGACGAGCGAGAGGGGAGAAGAAATATTCAAACACGCAGAGAGATGAAAAACAATCGAGCAAGTTTTAGAGTAAAAAGACATGCCTCTGCCGCGGAACGAATATCGATGGACCGTCTAGTCAATTCGCGGCAGAAATTGAAGCGAAATTGGATCGCGAATGAAGTAGCAGCACGTGATAGCCATTTTCTGATACCATTCTAGGAATATAGAGTATCGACGATCCTTCTCCGTACGAGTATTTTAAAAGGGGAGAAAAAGAAAAATGCAAGAATAAGAAAGAAAAGAATTAAACGATTCGTCGAAGAAAGAGACGTCCAGACAGCCGTTCGCGCATTATCGGTCGAACATAAATCAACGATTCTAATGGAATCACAGGGTTGTTAAAGGCTGCGGTAAATGCACTACATTGTCGCGCAATCGCCGTTTCACTCGTAAAAATCCTCCACACAGCCTGACAATCGGAGAGGTATACGTCCGAGCCAATGACCCATGCACGCTCGATAATTCCAGTGAAAACGATCGTCGCGGTTTTTCTTTTTTTTCTTTCTTTCTTTTTTTAACGAAACAATAACGTTAACGTTGCTATACGGGACCGTGAAAATGATACGATTGACCTATCCATCTGGTTGTTCGACCAATGTTGACCCATTTCAATTTCAAACACGCGGAGAGGGTCGCGATTCTCGTCCATCTATTCGTCGATGTATCTAACCTGAATACACACGCGAAAATTGAAATTGGAACGTTGCGGCCCGTGCCAGCGAACCAAGCAAATGAAATTCATCGGGCTTGCTGCGAGAGATAACGCGCGTTAACACTTGGACCTTGGCAGAAACCAAGGCGTAACGATATAAGAATAGTTGATAAGTTGACCGGCGTCCATGTTTTAATATCATGCTGCGTGTATGTAACGTCTCTACGTTTGAATATTATAGCGATTTTCTTTTTTAATTTCAAGCGAGGGAAAGATACACGTTTGCCACGAAGATCAAATGAGAAGGCAATTTTGGAATCGTTAAAGTTTTCTTCTTGTTCAAATTCTGTTGCTAGTTATATGTTGGAATTAACACTGAGTTTACGAGGTCAAAAATTCTACATAAAAGTGTACATTCGTTGTTATTTCTTTTGTTAGTGCAACTGTAAATATGTAAATTCTTATACCAACAAAAATTGAGAAATCGATTAGTCAGATAATATGAGAAATTAGATAAGGTTAAATGAACAAAAGAAATAACAAGGAATGTACAATTTTAAACTAAAGTTTGGAACCGGTCGTTTAGCCGCGTCTGCTAAAGTTAGTGTTAAACGTAGCGTAATGTGAAATAAAAGGGAGAATCGGGAAGATCTGATAGAAAATAGTAGCGAAAAGGGAGGCTGGTGCATGGCGAACAAGATGAAAACGAAAAGATAAAATAAATTTAGAAGAGACGGTAACGACTGCGTGGCAAGGCGCCCAGCACCTCTGTCAGCGAAATCGTCGCGTTTTCATGCGGTTTCTGCACCGACGAAGATAACTTCCCTTTGCATCGCAAACGCGATTTCCCATCGAGCGGAAAAATTTTTCTTTCCTCGACGACTTCAGCCATGCGAAGAGGAGCGTAGCAGCCTTTCTGGTCGGCGATTGATACAAATCTTTCTGAACGGTGCCAAAAAGAGATCGCGTTTTTCCCTGAAAACTTATATCTAAAGTGTCTCCTTTCTTGTTCTTTCAAAGAACGTTGCAAAAGGAAAAGGCAGGTGATTAGCGTGACGAAAGGTTGGCTAAAATCGCACGTAAATATGAACAAAATTTGGATGAAATTTTGTCGATTGGAATTACGTTTTGTAAGAAATAAGAAAATGTCTACCTTTTTCGAGCGATCGTGTAACAACTGCGATCATCGATGGAAAAGTTGCAGAATGTTAAGAGGAAAATCGTGTTTGCTACTCGAAACGTTCATAATCGATCGGACACGGCTGTAGGCGTAACACAGTGAAAAATTCGTTTTACGTTCTCGATGTCGAATAATGGATTTTAACACGATTTCAAGTATTACCGGTTTCGATGCTGTTCCCCTCAGGTGCACGCTTTATCGTAACTGTTCGGCAAGATTACTGTCACTTCGATTAATCGAACAGGTTTCGTTTCATGCAGAAAGCAACAGGTGTATGCGCGAGATTTGTATATCAAACTATTTCGAACAAAACTCGTTCCCTGCTTTTACTGCCTAATGATCGCGCGGGATTGCACAACCGTCTCACGCGGTACCATATACACGGAATTGCAAAAGGAACTTGATAAAACAGAAAATGTGCAACGTTAACGCGTTTGTTCTCGCTAAATTGTGCAATTAATTTACCATTCGCGATGCATTTCGACACGACGGAAAATACCGAAATAACATACATCGTTGGCTACTTGGAAAATATTTTACATTTTCAAGACTTACCGCCCTCGTGTTGAGCGTCTCATTCAGATTGGTGACGTTATTGTTGATGTGGTTGTTGTTGATATTATTGGTCGTGCGGGTTGAATTGTTGTTGCTCGAATGATGATTCGAGTTGTTTCCATTGTTGTGCTTATTGTGCTTGTGCAACACCATAGCGACGAACATTTTGGCCTCCTTTCCCGACCGGTTGGTCGTCAAACGATTTATCGTCCTTTCAGCGATCCTCAATTTCATTCGTTGTCACGGTGCATTCGCGTAAACTGAAACACCGTGAGCGCCGATGCCGATTCGTCCTCAGGGATGCAAAAGAACGACAGAGAAAAGTGGATAGATGAATATTACACGTCATCCTTCTTTCGTCGCTGTTATATGCAAACGTAATGATACAATTTTGCAAAATGCGCGTCTCTTTGGAACGCGATCGCGTCCATCTTTCGACGCAACGGGAATAATTTCTGGCTATCAATTTGAATGATTCTCGTTGGGACGGCCGCTCGATGGAAAATTAAATCTCCAGAAAAACGATATTTCTCGAGGGCTGGCTGTCCGCGAGGATAAATCGCGACTCACGCACGCCCAGCTCGTTAATCTCGCGCACGACAAATCCATGCATCGTCCAATTAACGCCCTAACTTATAGCTGGCACGAACAGAAGCGATTATCTCGCGAGATTCAACGCGGATCGGTCCCAGTCACCTACCATTCGCCTAGAATGTATAATCAGCTCGGACTACGTAGTAATGCCGTTGCATCCGAGTAAATTCTGGCGTTCATCATAACGCGCGAATCGTGTCCTGGCAACCTGCAATTCACGGGCTCCCCTTTTTATCGTATCCGTGTGAAATGAACGAGGTTGCTCGAGCCTCGACGTCGTTTTGCACGTGCGAGCACCGAGCACGTGAAGAACGCGACAGCCGACGGCTCGTATCGATTCGTTATAAATAGCCGTGTGCAATCGACTGCGGCCTCCTTCTTCCGCGACTTATCCCTTTCGAACTGCTTGAATATTTTCCTTGCCGAGAATCACCGACAATAGCATTTGCAGAATCCCTAGTTGGGTGCAATGACGCGTAAAAAATCCGAAATTTCATTGATATTAGAACGCGATAGAGCTAAATCTCTATATTACACGATGTTCGAGCCATTCAGACGACGCATCTTGATCAACCCCGTAAGTTGAAAAGTTGCGCAAGATGCTACGAACGCTGTTTTTCTAACTATTTTCATCTGACAATGAATCAATTATCGTCAAACTATGGACTATGCGTTTCTGAGGAATTTAAACATACAAAATGTTCGACGCATCTTGATCAACCCCATAAGTTGAAAAGTTGCGCAAGATGCTACGAACACTGTTTTCCTAACTATTTTCATCTGGCAATGAATCAATTTTCGTCAAACTATACACTATGCGTTTCTGAGGAATTTAAACATACAAAATGTTCGAGCCACTCAGACGACGCATCTTAATCAAACCCATAAGTTGAAAAGTTGCGGAAGATGCTACGAACACTGTTTTCCTAACTATTTTCATCTGGCAATGAATCAATTTTCGTCAAACTATACACTATGCGTTTCCGAGGAATTTAAACATACAAAAATGTGCCAAGATATTCAACGTCCAATATTTAACGATAGAATGGCTGGTTTCAAAATCTCATTAAAGTTGTACATTCTTTGTTGCTTCTTTGGCTCGTCTAACTTTATGCAAATTCTTGTATTATCTGACTAATCGATTTTTGTTAATTTTTGTTAATACAAGAGTTTACAATTTTCGATGAAATATTGAAACCGGTCATTTGACCAAGCCTGATGAACTTAGCATTAATTGTATTTATAAAGAGATGAATTTGCTCAAACGTTAACAATCTTATTAACACGTTTTGTACGAAATCATCGTATATACGTTACTTACGAAGAGATACGAATATTTTGGAAGATAAAACGATGTCGTCGCAGAGAATTACAATCGGCCGTCGTGTTCTGGCTGTTGTTAAAACAGCACGACGACAAATTACCGCTAAGCATTTGACTCGATTACTACCTTAGCAAACACCTGGCGTTCAAGATCATTTATTACCCGCGCTCCGGCTCTACTGGACCCTCCATATTTCATGCGGAATACCGCGATAACGGTTCAATTTTCCTTTTATCCTGACTGTGCTCGGCTTCGTCGGTGGCCCGGTGTTCGAACGGTTCCGTTTTGCGAATTACGCTCGCCAGAATTACGTAAGATACGCACATGGCAATCATCTTAACAGGTAACGCAACGGCGAATAGCGATAATTGGAGTTGGAGAGAGGTACGGGATCTGGGGCGACCCAATTTGATTACAAGGCAATGCTCTAGCCGCAATTATTACCTTGGGGCTAACCGCGTTAGATCGACTAGACAGGACTGCGACCTGCTGCTACATCGGTGTCCATCGAGCAATCGCTCCTCCGACTTGCAACAACTATTCCAATTAACAGTAAACACCACGGTATATCCGAGATCGTGCATTCCCACAGGAGAATGCAACAGTATTGCACAAATTGCACTCGTGTCAAGTTCATCGACGCTGGAACGTGTTTCGTTCTGTAGGAAGCTAAAGGCGATCGCGAATAACTGACGGTGTTCTATAGAGTGTCACAAAAGATGCGTGGAGCAGATTCATAGAGTGACGTTTGGCTGACAAAGTTTAATCGTTAAAATCTGGGATACCCTGTATAGCACGATGTTAGCGTTAACGTTGACGCTATAACGGTTGGTTTCGAGAGTAGTCTGCTAGAGCGACTGTTTCTAGTTAATTAATAATAGAAACGTATGTTCACAAACGATCTTATAGAGACGACGCAATAGATTTGAATTTGAGACTAGATTTCTCAAGGAGAGATACATTTATCATTGAATCGATTATTGACTTATTAAAGAATAATAATTACGTACAATGTGAAAGTTAAAATTTTCTAAGAAAAAAAAAAACAGCTCCTATGTAATTCGTTAAAATACATACTCGTGGTAAGAAATAGTTGTACCTCGCTATTAAACACCGTACGGTTTCGTTCGTGGCGTAGATAAATTTTCAGGAGTAGGAGCCACAGATATTTTCAACGTTCAGCGAAAATACTCTCCAGGCGAATAAAAAACCAATGATAAATGACTGTCTCCCGTTGGAATTCCGTCCATACGAAACCACGAACTTCCATTTTCACGTGATGTACGAGCACTTTCGTCGACTGGCGCGTACTTTCTTCCGCTCAATGGCTTCCGGTCGCTGGGATTTATTGATAATTGGAAAAGTTACTATCGGCGATCACGATGCACGCAGAATGCACGGTCCATTCCTAGCACGATCCTGTTTTATCCTCTTTCTTTCCAGAACGCTGCTGACCGGATATTTGTGCCGACAATTTGAAACCAGTTAATGAAGTTACCTCGTTCAACTTCCCTATCCCGTGATTCGACGGCTGTTCAAACGGAATCCCACTTTCAAAGTTGCCTCGCGAAACTTTGCAATTATCAAGATTTTAGACGTTTCAGTTTCGAGACAAACTATTTATTTTCTCACCATAAGGTACAGGTCCGAAGTGAATTCACGGAAGGAAAAGCAATCTGAAAGTTTGGTTAACGTTTGCTTCTTGCATCGGAATCGTTAAATTCGTCGCAATTTCTTGATACTGTGACAATATCATTGATGCCATGTTAGGGTCAAACCACGTATAACGTGTATATGCTAGTCCGCGACTCTTTGCGCATTTGTGAGAAATTGAAATGCACGAAAATAGCAAACAACTTTTCTTAGCTTCTATTCTATATTTTAGATCATTATCTCGTACGAAAGCAAAAGTCTAATCAGTTTTCTTTCTTTTTTTTTTATTATTTAATCTAATCTCGATTATCGCATTTCATATGAAATCAGTAGCGTGAACAGAGTCATATCTGTAGATTTTCGGTAAATAAATGACAAATAATAATAATAATAATCGGCAAAGACTTCAACAAGCAACTGACCTTGCTTCGTAAAGATATCGAAATCACCTAATTAAAAGTCCATAATACAGTGGCCGGGGAAAATAAAAACCGTATGGAAGAAAGTACATTAGGTCTGTCACTCGAGATTTAATTACATGTATCACCATCGATTACGAACATTTATCAATTACTTTCTGCGTCAGGTAAGATTTCAGCGTAAAATAGCCACTGATGTTTTGTCGTGAGACAATTTCGAAGAGAGAAGACAGCTCACTTCTCGAAGCTTTTTCTTACGCAAACCTTGGCAAACATTGGCGGTGTAATTATTGGACGACCAAAAACTGCAGTCTCGAGCAGGGGATCTGATCGTTTTACGAGGGTTTTACGTAGCCGTGAGCCACGAAACTGGTTCGTCGTGGCCGCTCTTGAAACGCGAAAGCTTGACTGTCGCGAGTTAATTTCGCGTTAGTTCTCGGTCCTCGAAAACAACGAGCACCGTGACCCGGCTGTCCTGTAAATCTCGTGTTTTACGGTGTCCCGTAAATTATCGCGGCGAATTCACGAAACGCATTAAGAGCCCCGGCGGAAGGGCCGCGCGATAATTATTTCGCGTACGCGATTACGAACAATGTAATAAATAACGATATATACGAAGAAGTATTTTCGCGCGAAGCAGTTTCGTGAATCACGATCTGCACGCAAGTCTAACCACGAACGGTCCGATTCTCCTGCTATACGCTCAGCGTACGTATGTACGTCTGGTTCGCGTACCGCGAATTATTCTTCCTCCATCGCGTGTCCTTTATTGCTGCTCGTTAACTATAACATTCGCCATTCACTCATGCATTCTATAGTAATTCCTCCTGCATTTTGAAACGTATAGAACCATTTAAATACATTACCGATCGTTCGTTTCTCGACATTTCTAAATTGCTCTAAATATAATCGAACTCGGTGTAACGCGATTAAGATATCGCTAACGCTCTTGTATAACGCAGTTTGCAAAATAACGATAAGATTAGAATGCTTCTTAAAGGAATAATATTAAACAAAAAATGCAAATAAAGAAGATACGAATTCAGCGAAGCGAAAGAAAGTTCAACCGACGAAGAAATCGTAGTAGCAGCCAAGGAGCGATATCGATGGAGCTTCATATTAAGCGAGTCTGAAATACACGCTTCCAGAATTTTCGAACCGAATAAAACCATCCTACAAGTTACAAATATCTTGTCTTTGTTACTTTTAAGAACGAATAGAAAAGAGTCGAGATAAATTCTGGGTCCGAGGAGTGTTGCGAGCCGAAGAA